AAACTTTGCAAAATGCTAGGATCACCTAACAGTTCATCTCTCAGAATGCACCCTCAGACACCTCTGTCTTTGGTGTCTTTGGTACTACTAATTCCCATGCCATGTTAGAGAGAATGTTGGAATCAAAAGAACATGTCTATTTAGAAATAACGGTAAAGAGAAGCCCAATTTTCAGTAAAAAATTTCAAGCTTTCCATTTGAGACTAAAGAATCTACAGAAGGAGGTGGGTTAAAGGTATCCATCAGTTTTCTATTGCTTTGACAAAAGGCCTCACACAACTGTTGACATGGGCCCAGAATTTCAGGGGAATTCAGTTCATGGGCAGCTGGCTCCTCTGTGTCTGGGCTATGAGCAGACAGAGCTTCCGGATCAGGAAAGCATGGAAGAACCAAGTTTATCATCTCAACAAGTAGCACAGGCAGAACACATGTTACACTATCAGGCATACCCTGAAGTGACCCATTTCTTCCAGCTAGGCCCAAGACATGGAAGTTTTCAGAACTTTCCAAATTAGCACTCTCAGCTGGTGACCAAGTTTTACATCCGTGAGCCATATAAGGCATAGTGAAAGAATTTGTGAATAAGTAATAGGGGAAAAAGTACAAAGGAATGCGGAGATGGGTAGAATGAGAGGGGTCTTCCAGGGAAGAACTTCTGAGCCCCTAAGATGACACACATGAGAATGGTTTTACGGCTGTTGCTTGTTTTGTGATCAATTTCAAATGCAAGCCTAGAATACGTCGAGGCCGGATGCACCACAAAAACTAAACTGATAAGGCTTCATATTACCTTTTGAGCACTTTCTAGAAACATCAGACAAAATTCTAAAAGAAAGGAGCCATGCTATTTTACTACAACCCACCATGAATAGGGTCAACCTCCCCATTGCTCAGGAGGGGTTGGACATTTCTCCAGGTTTCTGTTCAGTCTTTGTGAAGGTCAAAAGACAATCAGAGTCAAAAACAATAAAAACAAAATCCTAAGGTGAGAGATCGACAAGTCAGAGTCGTGTAATTATTTTAAAGTAAAAGTTGATTTGCATAAACATAAGGGCAAAGAGCAAATGGAGAACTGCTTGATGAAGAGACAGCTGGTGATGCCTGTAATAAATTATTTGAGCTCCTGAAGGAAGAGGATGTCATGCCAGTGAAACGGGGGAGAGGAATTGATGCTGAGAAGACAGCTACACGGGAAGGAGAGTTTCTCTGCAGGACCAAAAAATCCATGTCTGTACTTAAAGCTTTTAAATGACAAGGGAAGCCTGATGCTCACATTTAAAGCACTCCTGGCTCACACTGAAACCTGTGGTCTCCTGTCATTCGGAAATCTCCAGGATTTTTAAGGATCCTCTCAAGGACACTGATTTGGAAATAGAAACCAGAAGCTTGAGTGTGGCACTTGATGGAGGCCACTACGAAAAGGCTTTCACAGTTTGGTCACTTAAGTTTATTCTTCAGGCAAAGGGAAAGGATGCCCAGACATCTTGTGAAGGAAAATGGTGTTGTCAAATCAGTGTGAGAGTGTCATCAAATAAGCCAGTGATACACAAAACGAAAGAAGGGAATAGGTAAAAGGAGACTTAAAATGGCTGGACAGGTGGCTCTGTCAATAAAGTGCTCACCTAACATGTAAGCGTGAAGAGCGGGCCTGAGTTTGATCCCCAGTACCCAGGCATGGTAGCACACACCTGTGTACCCAGCTTCCTGGCCAGCTAATGTAAAGAACATGACGAGCCACAGGGTCAGTGCAGATTCTGTCTCAAAAAATAAAGTGGGGGACAGTAGAGGGGGAAACCCAGTGTCCTCCTCTGACCTCTACACGAGTGCACTCAGGCATGTTGTCCACCCCCTTCACCACGCACACATGCACGCATGCACTCATGCGTGTGCACAATGCATCAAATAAGGAAAAATACTTCACTGATGTTTAATCTTTTGGATACATCGGACCTTAAATACTATGACGTAGGATGACTAGCAGAGCCCAAGGCAGTTTTCACTTCCAGTCCAGTGCAGTCACCATTTTGTCTTCCGGGAGAAACATGTCTCCCCTGGAAAATGATTTTCTAGGCCAAGAGAACATAACATGTAGCAACAATAAATAAAAATGTTAAAAGTGGGTCATTGGTACCTTGGTAAGAGGTCCCAGTCCCTGTTTCACCACTTGACCACGAGAACCATGAACCTGGTATAGGAGACTCACAGTTCTATGTATTGGATGCTACATAGTGGGTATACCCCTGCTGGGGAGACTTTCCCGACTCAGCAAGGCAATATCTCCTACCTGGAGCTGTAACTGAGTCTTCAGAAGGTCACTCAACCATTCTATAAATGACAAACATCTTAGGCTGTTTAGAAACATTATAAAAAGGAGTGGATTCCATTGTTTCACTTCTTTTGCTGTTGAAGTGAGTCCCGTGGTCAGGACTAGTGTTGCATGAAAACCACAGTGCTGTATACAAATCTTTATCATCCTATCAATCCCAACACAAAGGGAACATTACCCTTCCAAAGTGGAAGTGGCCAAATCAATATCCCTGCCACCGGGTAGCTGCTTGGCTCAGGGAATGGTACCATTTTCAGGATTCAATAGCCTTCTCCCTTCTGGGCAGATTGGTCACACCACCATGGGCATAGCCTGGTTTTATGTGAGGCTTTTTCCTAGAAAGACACAAAACAAATGTCTCTTCATCCTAGATTTGGAACCCAGACACTCCAAAGTAAAGGATGCACCAAAGTCCAATTTGGTGCACTAATGGGTTTTCACTGGGGTTACTTGCAGGAACATGGGCTACTCAAATGCACTGGCATACTAAAAATCTTCACCACAACATGGGTAAAGACATATTAAAGTTATGTTGCTGGAGCTCTCGGTGTCACTTGTCGGTGGCTCTACAGGACCAAACACTGCTTGCCAACTACCTTGGTCAAAATCTCCTTCCCCCACAGTGGTTTCCTGATTTTATAACAGTAGGGGAGGACCCTCATGAATCTTGAAGCTTTCCCAGACATGTGAAGTTCGCTTCCTGGGCCTCAGAAACCTGGCAGCCTCCTTCCTTGGCCAAATGTTGCAGTTCTGAGACAATTGCTATACAATACTTGGTCAGTTTGGGGAATGGAATCTTTGTTGCCGAGACCTTAAAAACCTTCATCACACCCACCATGCCCACTTTCTTCACGGACTCATTGGGAAGTGAAAGAAGTAATCAGTATAAATGGATAGGGGCATCTTTATGCCCTTTACTACTAACATCCTACTCTGATAACATCATTCTCAGATGGTAATTTGCACAGATCACAAATACATTCATGGCTTTTTCGCCAGTCAAAGAATTCTATCCACACACCTCTTCTTCAAATTTCCTTTTCACCAAGTTTGCAATCATGCTCTTTCCAAGTTTCCTGACCATGCAGCCAAGCCATTGGCTCCAGCCCAGGAGCTGGTATACAAACACATCTGGCCATTTCTCTTTCCAAGCAGAGTAACCAAGCAGGTGCTCCCTGCTTGAAGTTCTGCCCACTGAATGATCTCCTTTTACAACTGTCCTTCAGAAGCCATCCTAGAACTGCCCTTCAAGATGATGCCTACCGGTTGGAGAGAGCTGTATCTGCAGATCAGGCCTTGGTCATCACTTTCTTTGTTAATCAGTCTTATGAAAGTTTGGAGTAGAGATGGGACTCATTGAACATACAGGTTTTAGAGGCAGTCCCCAACAGCAATAAAAACTCATCAGGAACTCTGGTGCTGCAGTACATGAGGTCTGGGTAGGGGCAAAGGACAGGGTAGCAGGAGCTCGGGACTTTGAGCATTTGGACCAATTCATAACTACCCAGCCCACTGAGAAGGTGTAAATGACATTGATTTTAAAGTATTAAATAATATTTGTTGAATGTTATAAAATAGTCCTGTAAATAATCACAATAAATAATGAGAATAAACCTTCAATCTCTCATATTTGATTTTTAAATAATTTTTCGGGTTTAAATCATATGAATATTTCTCACTGAGGTCTTTACTAAAGGCCCATCTCACCAAGATCTCAGTGATAAGATCCATTTACTCCAAGTCATTTTGTTTTTGAAAATGGTGGACTCACTCTACAAATGGAAAGGTAATAAACAAAAATAATAAATGAAAATAATAACCAATAGATTTGAATAAAAGGCAGATGTTCCCAAACAATCTACAGACACTGGCCACACTTTCAAAAAAAAAAAAAAACCTGATAGTCTTAATATATAGTCTCTGTGCACCGAACACCATTTTATATGGTATGGGAACTTAAAAATAAACACTGGGGACTGCAGGGGAGGAGTTGGTGGGAGGGCCAGAGAGTCCCAGTTCAACATTGCTGTCCAGGCAGGCCGTACAGCAGGCATACTACTCCACTGAAGACACTGTCTAAAAAATTCTCAATATACTTGGCAGCCACTTAGATCATAAATTAATTGTAGCCACTTAAAACCTTGTGGGTGTATTCTGATTCTATGTTGATCAAACTTCATGCAAATGTGATATCATCACAGATGCCTCTTGATCATTAAAGGATCCATCTCACTGTTTGGGCTAATGTGTGTTAAATTTGATATTTAAAAGATTCCTCAGTACTGTACATCTTCCCAAGATACTTAATTTCTATCATCATTTGTGACTGATATTCATCTCTCTGTAAAAATACAAAATTAGATTTCAATCTAAAATATAAGCTGTAATTGATGGGCTTTTGAATTCTATTCTCTCACATAACAATTTTAGATAGAAAATATCTTTGACATTGTGGTTGAAATTATTTTTTTAGCAGCCAAGTATTTTTCTTCCTTCCTTCCTTCCTTCCTTCCTTCCTTCCTTCCTTCCTTTTTTCTTTCTTCTTTTCCCTGCTAATGAACCAGAGTAGCGTTAATGACTCCAGAACCCACCTCTGATCTGGCCACTTAGTATCCAGGTATTTGTTTTCCTTGATAGGGATACCACTAATATTTATAGCCATTCTTCTTTGCAGCATCTTCCAGATGGCTCTGTGCCCAGTGCCCATGTTGAGATGTATCTTTTACCACATCCCAGTGAAGTTCGCAAGAGGAAAACAAAGTCTGTTCCAAAATGCACTGACCCCACTTACAATGAAATTGTAAGTATGCCTTATCGCTTGTCTAGGTAGTTTGTATTTTCTTACCAGGTTTTGGTTTGGTTTGGTTTGGGTTGGGTTGGGTTGGGTTGGGTTGGTTTAAGTTGGTTTGGGTTGGGTTTGTTTGTTTGCTCGTTTGTTTCAGCTTCACACACAAGTATGGAGAACTTTTAGTAGTTGGAAGCATTGTTCCATAAAGGAATCATGTTGTCGAAAATAGTCCTAGCATGCCAAACAATGTTCTAGATGCTATGGGAACCGGAAAATGCAGATTCGGCTATTAAAGTTCTGATAGGCCAACCTCCAGCAGGCACGGAAGGGCCATTTTGAATACTAACACTTTCCCGGTATTTTCCATTGTATTTTCTCTACCAAGTTCATTTTATTCTTTTAAGCCTTATTCTGGGGCACTTGATTTTCTTTACCTAAACATTCTATCACAAGCCCTTGTGTGAAGAACAGTGAGTCTCCTAAAATCTTTTGACAAAATGAAAAAGAAAATATAAACATACAAAACACAAATCAAAGCTACAGCATGCTGCAGATAGCACATCCAGTCTCCGGGTTTCTTTCTAAGACGACTTCCCTTTGTTTGTTCTCTTGGACCTCCTCCTTTCTGACGCGGTTGTTTGCCTGCTTGTTCTACCACACAGTCTGCTCAGAAATCTCTGAAAACAAAGGCATCTTCCCTTGCTATTTCAGCTGTTTTGTGTTTTGAGGATAGATCATACTATGCAGTCAAGGCTTCACACTAGCAGGTATCCTCCTGCCTCAGCCTTTCTGAGTGCTAGAATGACACTGTTGAATCATATCTCAGCCTTTCTGAGCAACCTTTATTTCCCTTACTACCAGCCCCAAACTCTCATGCCATTGACTTATGCAAGCTCTTCTCAATGCATTGCTTTCTTTTCACACTTTAATGCTTTGCTGTGTAGATTCTCACCTTAAGTGGTAGGGCTTCACTCAAGTGGTATCAGCAGATTCCTGATGACTAAATGCAATGAGCCCTCAGGCTCTTCTCCCACTGCAGGTGCAAACTGTCAGTAAGGTACCCTGATTCTTAAAGCCACTCTGCCTCCAAGTTCCACCTTTTCTTAATGCTCTTTCAATTTTTTCTCTGACCATCATCTTGTTTTCACTTGTTGCAAATTCTTCCTCTTAAAATGTTTGCTAAGGTTCCATAGTCCACCCTGGTCTGCCTCCCCTTCAAAAACATCCTTCAGTAACCCAAGGATCTGCATACAGAAATTGAATCAACCTTTGATGGAATAAAAATGTCTGAAAACTGTGTGGGTAGCAACTCCAAATTCCATTTTTGTCAGAACTTCCTAAGAATCACCGTGGCACACGTGTGTTTCTTGAGGAGTTACGAATGAGCTGCCGATGATGACAGTGCCCAGGGTGAGGCACACCGGCTACTCCTAAACTCTGAATGTTTTATTCCCTTGACCTCCTTGTCAGTCTCCATGGATGCTGAAGGATGGTGACAGAGACTCATAAAGTCTGGATACACTCCCAAGTGTTCTATCACCATCACAGTGTAAGCTGTATCTGTACTGATTCCCCAAACCCCAGCTTTCTCACAGGACCCAGACTGACCTGGAAGTTGTTTTTCAGTCATGGATAACTGTGTAGCTCTCATCCTCATGCCTCTACCTCAAGTGCTGGTGTTACCGGAATTCATACCACACCTGATATCTCTAAAGGTTGGACCTGCCCCTCGTCCTCTTTGCTGGAGCATGTCATGTGAAGTTCTCCTGGGCTCTTGGAAGACAGGCTTGTTTCTCTGCCATATCAAAAGATGGCCTCTCCTAGGAAGGGTAGGGGATTAGCTTTTATTCTTTGACAGTCTTAAACATGTATCTCTTTTATAACTCAGTGTGTCCAGTTAGCGCAGTGTGCATGCACACAGGTATGGGGCTATCTACTAGTGTGACCACACCACCCCCAGAGGGAAATGACTCCTCTATCCCAGCAGCCCCTCTGATCGGGGTGGGATCACCTAGCCTATTCCTCATTAGTGTTAGAATATTGAGAGGGTTAATTGCATGTAAATTCAAAAGACGCCTTCTAGTGACACTGCCTTCTCCCTCACACACACGTTCACCTACGCACAAAGCTGTGCTGCTGTGGCTAGAGCATTGTCTGACTCTTGAATCCAGTCGTCTTTTTCTCTCTGAGGTCCCTGTGCAAAGTTGTTCTCCTACTCCTCCAAAATGTTGATTTTTGTTTGTTTTCAGACAGAATCTCACTATGCAACCTCAGCTGACCTAGAACTGGCTACATAGACCAGGCTGGCTTTGAACTCACAGAGATCTACCTGCCTCTACTTCCCAAGTGCTGGGGTTAAATGCTTGTACCATCAGAACCAGTTCTGTGAAATAGTTTTATTAAATCTTCTACATTTCTTCCTAGGGCGTTGCCCAGACATAGTCACCACTCATTCATTTAAATTATTTGAAGTTTCCTTACTTCCAACTGATGGCCAAAATTTTAAATGTGACATTCACATCCTTTAAATTTTAACTCAGAATTTTCCTCTGTTTTCCTGTGGAAGACTATCATCAAGTGTTCCTTTCTTTTTTTATATATTTGTGTGCAGTCTGAAGAAATAATACAGATCTCACGATCTTTTCTCCAGTGTTATAGCTAGCATAGCTGTAGTTTGTATTGACAGCAGGAAGTTGTCATTGGTATGATCCAAATAGCTCATTCTAACTTTAGCATCCCTGAAAGTTCCCTTCTGTAGGTATAGATGTTTAGCTCTGAGCATTGGTTGAGTCACCTAGTTGATCCCACAGTCAAGGCACAGAACAGAGACATCCAAGACTTACAAAGACCACCTGTCTGTATCTGACCGGGACTGGATCGCCATCCTTAAGAATTTATCATTTTAAATGTTACATCAATGGATTTGTATAATTTATCATATTTGGAATTGGCTTTTTATCAGTTACTTTTTCTCCTGGCTGTGACAAATACCTAGATAGGAAAAGCAACTCAAGGGAAAGTTTGTGTGGGCTCATGATTGGAGGATGCAGTCAATCATGGTGAGGAAGGCATGACAGCAGGAACTCTGGGCAGATGGTCATGGTGTTGCCCACATTCGGGGTGTGTCTTCTTGCCTCAGGAAACCTAGTCTAGAAATTCCTTCCCTGGCATGTTCAGGGACTTGTTTCCATGGTGATTCTGAATCCCAGCAAGCTGGTAACCCAGAGTCACTGCCATGTCTTTTTAGTCACTGTAACCCATACTGAGTCACCTAAGAGTTGCACATGATCCTGATGACCCCCTCCAGCCAATCATCCCACTCTGCCCTTTTCTGCTGCTGTGACCTGTGAGTACTGAGCCCTCCATCTCTTATACTTCGTAAACTTTAGACCTAGCATGTAAATTTCCTGAGAATAGGGAAATGTCTCCTCTTCCCTCATATCTTTAATACTTAGTGACTTCAAAAAGCTTTGTCTTTAAATATTTCAAGAAGTTTTATAAGTGATACTATATATTTACATGTAAACAGTAAGTAAAGCATTAGTATGTAAACATGCATTATATATGTGTGGATAAAATGTATATAAAGCATTAGTATGCATGCATTATATATGTGCATAAACTATATAAAATATTAATATGCATACATTCATTATATGTGTGTGAACTGTATATAAAGCATTAATATGTAGACATGAATTTTATATGTGTGTAAAATTTATATAAATTATTAGTAAGAATACTTGGATTATACATGTATAAACTGCATATAAAGCATTAGTATGTATCCACATATTATTTATGTGTGTAAAATTTATATAAAGCGTTAGTATGTATACATGCATGCCCACAAGGGATTCTCTAAATCAGTAGAGATACTTTGGTGTCTTATTTATTATGTCCACTCTGCTTACAACTAAAGACACATGTCCAACAATATGGAACCTATTTTTTTACTTGAATACAAAACAGTCATCCTTACTATCAAGAAGCTTTCCAGACGCCCTGTATCAAAAGAAGAAGGGGGCTGGAGGTATTCCTCAATAGTTAAGAGCACTAGCTGTTCTTTCAGAAGATCCATGTTTGTGTCCCAGCACCAACATGGTGACTCACCTTGTCTGTTACTCTAGCTCTAAGTGATATGACTCCCTCTTTTGTCCTCCATGGGCACTGCACACATATGATGCACATATACATTTGGGCACACACTCATACACACAAAATATTTTATCTAAAAATAAATGGATTCAGTGGATGGTGCTTAGGGAACAATATCTGAGATGCTCTTCTGGCTGCCACAGAAACTGTAAAACATACACACACATAAGCAAATCTATAGCTGTTGCAAAAGAAAAAAAGAAAGAGAGAGAGAGAGAGAGAGAGAGAGAGAGAGAAGGGTGAAAGAAGGAAGGGAAGAATAGAGGGAGAAAGAGAGGAAGGAATAATGAATGGACAGTAGGTCTCAGTCTCTACACTGCAATTCAGAGTTTGTAATCTAAGGAAACACATAACAAAAATTCACTAGACAGTCAGTATTATTCTAATAAGTTGGAAGTTAAGTTATCAAGAGCTTAATGGATTATAAAATCAGCAGTAAGTACATATGTGTAAAGCATAAATTTTTATGTGTGAGCATAAATTTTCTGATGGTTTTGAAATACTCCTAGCTCTTCCTAAATCTGTGACCTAGTGATACACTACAATTCCTTTAGGCAGCCGAAGCCAGCCTAAAGTACAAACACACAGTGTTTGTATTTTGTACACATTTTAAAAGGCTAACAAATAACAGAGTCCACACTTGCACAACCCAGTGTGCATGGAATCCAACCCAGCAGAAACCTGAAGGAACGTGGGCATCAGAGAGCAGATCAAGGCTAGTCTGGGGACAGTGAGAGGCCAGTAGAAATTAGAGAGCCACAGAGAGAAATAGGTCACAAGATTCCAGGTTTTCTCGTGTCATGTTCTTCATCTATATCAATCCAGCGACACTTATAAAAGATGCACAAAACGTACATTCAACTTTACATCTGACTTATTTTCTCCTGCCCTCGACTGTGATAGACGGTCCAGTTTCTGTGATATGCCTCTGCATTATTCTGTGCATCGTCAAGGGCACCCTAATAGATGTCCTTAGAGGAGACCCAGTGCTCATTAAAGAGCTCAGAGGCTTATCACATGGCACCCACAGGTTTGAAATAGCTCTGCTCTTCCACCTCATCTAAAGCATGCCCGCTGCATCAGCCACTCACTACAGCTGGGATTCCTCTAACCCCCAAGGCCTCGCAGCATACTGTGAGTGAGAGAAAAAGACCTTGGTCTCATCTTTTGTCTTTGTGTAGACCTGTCAGAGACACAGAAAGGGGATAAAATGCTGCATATCAATGTCTCACCAAAATTTTCACTAAAATAATTCTTCCTTTTTTTTACTCATAACCCCCAGAGGGAGTCCTAGTTCAAGGAGTCCGTCCAGTGGCAGAGGCACAGCCCTTCTATTACCAAAGCTTTGGTTCAGGGACCGGCTTGTCTGTTTGACACTTCCCAGCATGCATCTCAGCAGGTTTTGTCAGAAGTCTCTGTGAAGTCCTCCTTTGTATGGAAATCCCATGGTGCATCTGGTTCAGGAGCAGGCTGCTTAGGGCACCATCCTGACAGCTTTGAGAAACAGAGTTGTGTGTGATTCCAGCCCTTATACCATTGTTCTTTGTGCTCAGTTGCTTCTAACATCTGATTAAAAACTGTCATTGTTAAAGGATTCATAATGAAGGTAGAATTTCTACCCTGTAACAGAATAACATGGTTGTAGTCAATGTGTTCCTACACTGTCCTGTTTGGGGAGTATTATCAGAAACATTCTAAAGGAAATGCTAGAAAGGAGAGGACACGCATGTTACATACTTTTTTTACTTACAGCTCTCTTACAAAGTACCTAAAAGATGGTGAGGGTAAAAGGATAGTGCTCTAGGTCCAGTCAGCAAGCCAGAACCATTCATTCATCATTGTCATTCTCTCTGTCTCCTCTCTCTCTCTTTCTCTCTCTCTCTCTTTCTTTTTCTCTCAGTGTGTGTCTGTTTCTCTGTCTCTGTCTGTCTGTCTGTGCGTATACACATGTGTACTTATGTGCATGCACATCTGTATGTATGTATGTATGTATCTTTCAAGTCATCTGCTGGATGAGATTGCTTGTTCATTTCCTGGTTGCTCAGACTCCAGAAATAATCACACAGAAATCTGTTAATTGCAATACTGTTTGGCCAATAGCTTAAGTGTATTGTATTTCTAGCTAGCTCTTACATCTTAAATCAACCCATCTCTATTAATCTGTGATCACCACAAGGTTATGGCCTACGAAACAGCTTTATTCATTAACCAATAAAGAGCAATACATATATAGAAAGACCTCACACACCAGACACCACTGCATCCCATTACACCTAGTTTTTCTTCACATAGATTCTGAGGACCGAACTCAGGTCTTTGTCTTGGCTGCTGAGCTATCTCCCCAGCCCCAACTCTTCTGATGCTCACAAGATGAGAAAAGTTGTTTGTCACATTCTTCAAGTTTTAGAGGATTGGTCCAGCGTAAGACAGGGCTCCCCTAAATTACTGTCACCTGCAACTCTGCAGTTACCTTCACAAGAAGACAAAGGTCACCAAAGAATAATGTTTCAGGATATATCTTTTCATTAAATGGCAGGTGCCTACATAAGTAAATGATATTGAGGCCCAGACAACATACAACTTATTCAGTCTCAGATGTGACTGATCCCAAAGCCCACATCCACTCCACCATAGGACACTGTATCCCCTCACACTTCTTTGCTCTCAGGGGTGCTGAGCTGGCTCTCCTCCCTGATAGTCTTCCCACTAGCACAGACACACTGATCTCCTTTTTATTCCTCTCCCACCAGAATCATGAAAAGGCACTTTACCATTATTTATTAGGCCCTTGTGTCAAATAATGTCAGTGAATGCCTTTATATGAATTAATAGAAACTCATTACACTCAAAGATTTCTATTTGAGGTGCTAATTCCAAGCCCACAAATTCTGTATTTGTCAGAGTAACTGAAGACTTGCCTCATGCTTATGGGTAAAAAAAAGTATGTATATACTATAAAACTTAATTAAAAGAAATATATACTGTTTATTCAATTTATATCAAGACATATTAAGTCATTTGGTGAAAACATCATAAGAACAGGCATGACCACCAACTATTCATTACATGGTAGAAGAGTATTTTGAAAATCAGCACTGTGGGTACTCAGAAAAGTTAAAAGCTATATACCATCAGTGCTATAACTTTGGTCACTTTAAGGGAATTATTTGCATTACTGAACTTAAAATCTACCAAGTAACCTAAGTTTTGTATGTCCTAGGGTTTACATTTGGTGCAGAAAATAGCAAATTTCAAAATTGCTTCCTGAGACTTCCTACTTTCTGGTGCATGAGGGAATCACTTCTGTCTGGAAGAATATTCTTTAGCCAAGTGATGCCCAAAAATATCCCTCTTTTAGTGTATTTGATAGGTATTTTAAGTTTATTTATGAGTGTTGAATATTTGGCATAAGGCTTGCATTATTCATTCATCAATTATTTTCTACAGTGCTTACAGGCTAGTGTTATTATTAACACATGCAAAGGTTCACAGTTGATGAGAGATTCATGTGAACATAACTTATTGCTATATTTTGTTGAAAAATTCCCTTTTTAGAATTGACTTTTACGATTCACAGAGTTCTTGAGCCATTCCTTTCCGGGGACCCGCTGCCTGGAATGGCAGCACTTTCCTTGTTCTAAAGGACCTGCATCTGTTCTCTCTGTGGACAGACGAGGAATTCACTATTGAAATGTTACAGAAAAGAATGGGGAGAAGAAGTCAGAAAGTTGAAGGGGGCCATTGTGGAAGGAATAAGGGGCCATTTACCCTGAAGTTCTAGATGGATTTCTGGGCAGCACTGAGCATCCAGCTACAGTGGAAGAACATGAGTTACAGGGATGTTTGAAGCTCGTGAATGAATTTAAAAGCTAAGAACATCTGCAATTGATTTAAAACTTAAATATGTGTACAACCCACATGTCTAGTCATGATCACATTTATTGAGAGAACTGGTGAGATCCAGCCATGTGCAATAATTTTTCTATCAAGAAACTAAGGTTTTCTATTAGATTTTTTTCTTTAATAATTCCATGCATGGATATAGTGCCTTTCATTACTCTGGTCTTTCACCTATCTTAATTCCTTCCCATTCCTATCAAAAACCACTCTTCCCTACAAATTTCTTTCCCATACTTGTGTAGAGATTTTTTTCTTTCTGAGATGGGTATCTTACTGTATATTTCTGACTGGCCTAGAACTAGCTATATAGACTACGCTTGCCCCAAACTCACAGTGGTCCTCCTGCTTCTGTCTCCTTACTGCAGGGCTTCCAGGTCACTGGACGTGGCCTGGAATTAGTGAGTTCAGCTCTTAGAAGAATTTCCTTTTGCCACCAATTAGTCCATTGTCATTGTTTCTCCCATCCATGGTCATGTTCATACCTTAAACCTTATTGATCCCCAAACTCAAAAAAATCAAACTTTTGAGTTCACGGTTTCAAACTTCTTTTCATTTGTTGAATGTTGTCATTGCACTTGAACCTTCCCCTTATGCTCACCATGACCAGAATAGATAATCTTACAGAGTGTTGCCTGAATAGCAGACAAACCTATGATTGTATGCCTTCAAAATAATCAAACTGAAAGTTAAAACTGAAAACATCTGCCGTGAAAGTTGTCATTGTTTTTGTTTTTTTTATTCTTTATTTGCTTCATTAAAACAAGGAATTCAAATGGTTTTGTTCGGTCATTTATATAATTATATAAACATATGAAAGCCTCTATATTTAATCCTTGAAAACTTCATTAGTGACTTATATGAGCCAACAGGGTCTCACTAAAATGTGTGATGGCAGCCTACTAGAAAGCCATTAACATTATGAGCAACTGTTCTGTTCATTCTTACACTGTCCCCTATCCTGTCTTATAGACAATGGTGACACACACTCTTCTGTTGAAACCTCCTCAGGATCTTCTCCCTTTGTCCACATTCCCTTCTAGTGACTTTGTTTCCTGCTTGGAATCCATCAAAGGAAACTTCTGCATTGTTCCTCTGCTGCTGGGACTACTGCACTAGCAGCTTCTGCACTTCACCTTCCTACCAGAAAAAGGTGATGGGTGCTTCTCCCAAATCAGTCCCCAGCCGTGCATTTAACACAGCTCCTTACCCACATCATCCCAAAACTCTGTTCCTCTTTACAGCAAAATATCTTCAAGTGGCTGTCTCTGCCTTCTGTGGTTTCTGTCTTCCAGTGTCCTTCCATCCCAGCAGAGGCCATTGTTTGCCCTGACACTTCAATGAGAAACTTTTTGTAGCTAAACCAAGCTCTCTATTTCAATCTCCAGTCTGATCTCCCCCATCAACAACATCAGTGCACTCACTAACTGCCATCTGCACACTCTTTGCCAGTTACTTCTCACACACCCTCCATGCTTGCTTTTATAACCTTGTTCTGTTGTTCTGATTCTCCAGTGCAAGGGTCTCCTGTCTCCATGAGACTCTAGTGCTGCAGTGACCCAGGTTCCAGACTAAGTGCTTCCTTCATTCCTGGTAACAGTCTTGTCCATTCTCAAAGCTTTAAATGTCATCTGAAGGCTAAAAGACCCCAGCTTTCTAACTCCATCTGATAGTCCTCTTAAACTCCAGCTGTGAGTGTTCAATTGCCTGCTCAACATCTGCCCTAAGTATCTAATAAAGATTTCAAATTGGCTGTCTCAAAACCAGAGCTCCTGATCTTCTTCCCCAACATGTTTGAGTTGTTTCTTTCTTGATTAATAATAGCCTTAACTTCCAGATGCTAAAAGAAAAAAAACCTTGATATCATTCTTAACATCTCCCTTGTGTGTCTTCTCATCAATTAAAAAGACCCATTAGACTTGTCTTCAAACTACATCCCAAGTCCAATCACTTATATTCGTTTCCTGCTTCCTCTCTGGTCCAAGTTCATACTGTCATCTTTATCCTGGATTACCACAAGTGCCTCCTAAGCAGCCTCCTGGTTTCTAAGAACCCCCACCCCCTTACATTCTTTTTCCAACACCATGGCCTCTGGAATGTCCATGTCATTCTGCTCTAAACTCTGCAGGGGCCTCTATTCTCTAAGCAAAAGCCCTAGCCTTTAAAATAACCTAAAAGGTACTATTACTGACTTCTCAACAGTGGCCTGTCTCTGATTTTAACTTTTGTTAGGTCCCTCTATCCTTGTAGATCAAGTTCATGGCCTCCTTTCTGTCCCCCTTAGTACCCTAGGCATGCTTTGTCCTTGACATCTTTGATCAGCCAACCCCTTCTTCTAAAAAAATGTTCTTTAGCCCTCATGTCCACTCTTCTGACTCCCACACATTCTTCAGATCTTGAGCAAATGTCTCCATCTCTGTCAAGCCCATCCCACAGAACCACAGTGACATAGCACACTGTGCTGTTCCCAAATACGCATCAGGTCTGTTCTACTCTACTCTGCTTTTCCTCCTACAAGTTGATCTCTGGACATTGCACATACTCACTTTTTATTTTACATGGTACTGATATCTGCTTCCCTAAGCCAGGTAATAAACCCTAAATTAACAAGGAGTTTTTTCTCATTGACAGTACATCTACAGACAAAGTATAGGGGAGCTGTTAACCCTGGTGATCTCACTGTGAAGAACCCTCCCTCCTCTAGAAGTGACTATGAGCCACACCCAGAGTCAAATTCCAGACCAACCTTGACACAAAGTGATAAGTATTGGATCCCCAATTATTAGATTCCTCCGCCACTGATGCAAAAATCCAAATCAAACCAAATGAATAAATCCAGATTTAATAAACAGGACAATGGAAAGCAGAGCATTCCCAGGTGACTCTCAGGAAGGCAGGAGAGAGAACACCCTTGCAGATCCAAGAGCTGGGTCTTAAGTAGCCTGTAATCTGTCTTAAGTAGTTCCAAGGGAGGAGCTGCTAATGGTTTACTTTTTCAGGGGCAGGGTCCGGAATGGGAGGAGTGGGGCTGGGAGGCCTTCCCTACCGTAAGATCTGCTAATGCTCTACCCAGGCATTACAGGCTTCCTCTCTGGATCTCCTACTCATCTCCAGTCTGACTGTACCGCCATGAGAAAATGAAAGGACCCAGGGATGACCAAGGGAATGCCGGATGTGACTTGAGTGTGTCTGTTGAGTCACCATAAAGATGTACACAAGACCACCCATGGTGGAGAGGGAGCCAGAGAAAGAAAGAAAAACAGTACATGAGGGGCTCTGAACACAACAGGCTCTTCCACCCCATTGCAAGCCACAAGGGTTCTAACAACTCGGAACTCTAAACCTGTCCTTCTAGAAATAGATAGAAGTATATTTCTTGTAATGGGGGCAAGGGGGAAGCACATTGTATTTAACAGTGTGTTAACTTTTGTATGCAATATCTAAATTTAGGTAGCTGGTAAGTTAGTCTTATGAAAGAGAATGGAGCTTTTCCTGACCGCACAGTTATGGTTGTTAGAGAGGATGTAGCTAGTGTCTGCCAAAGGGTCAGCTCAGAGAGTATCCATATTCCATCCCACTCAGAACTCTCCCAAAGAGAATTTTCCCAGAGCATTTCAGTCTCATATTCTACTGAATGAGCTAGCCAGGCAGCCCGCTTACCCAGAATAGTTAGAGGCAAGTGTACTAGTTATGTCTGCAGAGAGCAAGGAGTAATCACCATGACAACAGACTAGCTAAAAATACTGGGGAACAAGGTTAGGGAATGTAAGTCCTTAAAGAGTGAGGACCTTGGGGCTGGAGAGATGCTCACTGGTTCAGAGCGCAGGTTGCTCTTGCAGAGAGGATCTGGGTTTGGTTCCCAGCACCCACACTGTGGCTCACAATCCCCTTGTTACTCTAACTGCAGTGAATAAATTTCTCTGGCCTCCTTGGGCTCCTATACTTGTGTAGTCATGCCCCTCACACAGATGCACATGCATAAACGTAATTAAAGACAGACTCTTTAAATTAAAGAATAAGCACCAGGAAATTTCCACTAATTCTTAGGGACCTAAAAAAAAATACACAAACGCCCAACTTAAATTCACAGTGAGAGAAGCTGTGAGGCTGACGGAAGTACCCGTGTCTGGCTGCCTTCCAGGCTCTGCAAGGTTGGCACAAAGGGGAAGGTGGCATAGAGATCCAGATGAAGGCATGCTTCGCCATGCACAGAGAATAAATAAAGCCTGAAAGGGACTTATTTACTTACTTAGGGTTTAGGAGTTTAAAGAAATCTGTCAAATTATAGTTGACCTCTAAGCTAACTACAAAGAAGTCAGACACAGCTGAGAACACACACTTTAAAACAGGTTCAAAAGGCACAAAACAAACTATGCAAAGATTGCAACAACAAACCCAAGTGCAACCTGGAGGCAAGGAAATGTGATAGTTAGACTTGCTACTTTATAAAATTTAAAATATAGATTCTTCTGTAAGAAGGGTGGGAGGGAGGGAGGAAGGGAGAAGGAAAGAAGGAGAGAGGGAAGGAAAGAGGGAGGAAGAAAATAAGAGAGAGAGGGGGAGGGAAGAAGAGAGAGAAAGGGAGGGAAGGAAAGAAGGAGGGAGGAAGGGAGGGAAGGAGGGAGGGAAGGAGGGAGGGAGGGAGGGAGGGAGGGAGGGAGGAAGGAAGGAAGGAAGGAAGGAAGGAAGGAAGGAAGGAAGGAAGGAAGGAAGGAAGGAAAAAAGCTGGCCATGGTGGTATGTGCAAGGAATTACAGCCTCCGCATGCAGAAATATTGTAAATTTGAGGCCAAACTAGGCTGAAAAGTATGACTATATATTAAAATGAAGTGAAGTGAGATGAATTTGAGAGTTATAAAAAGAAGGGAAAGAAGGCCTTTAATTATACATCAGTCTTTACAAAAGCTAGGGAGATAGCTCACTGATGGAGTATCTGCCTGGAAGGTGAAAAGCCTTTCTCTCAGTCTCCCGGGCATTAAAAAACACAAAAGCAAAGCAAAGAAAAAATATCAGCCAGAGCTGAAGAAGAGGCCATTGTTATTCCAAAATGTTATTATTTAAATACCTGGCTTTTTCAAATGATGTATGAAAGCAAACCACAGAGAATATCTCACTCAGGTAAAATAATCAACAGGAAGTACTCATGAAGCCTCAGGGCCTCGGGGCAAATTCACACAGTAAAGATTGCAAA